GCGACAAGGACACAGGACAGCCCGTTGTAGAGAATAGGGATGAACGAGCTGTGTATCCCCCAACCCAACATACTCAAGCTCCCGACGAGGATACTCTAGTTCCGCCACAGCCTTCCAAATGGCATATCTGGTGGCCAAGAGTGAGAGTGACCCTCGCTTGTTTCCTCCCAGTTGTGCTCGAGACACTTGACTACACGGGTACGTTTTCCCTTGCTCATTGCCCTATTATTACTGACCCTGAGATGGAATCTGATAGTTGTTGCGACGGCTCAAACAACCATTGCGTCATACTTCAATCGACTCGATCTCCAGTCGTACGTCGGAACATCCTATGTCCTTGGGTCGACTGTATTCCTTCCTATATTTGCTTCTCTCGCCGATGTGTTTGGACGCTATTGGACGATGCAAAGTTCTATCATCATCTTTCTCATCGGGTCCGCTCTCAGTACTGGTGCCACTTCGATGGCAGTGGTCCTCCTTGGACGAGGTATCGCAGGAGTAGGAGCGGCGGGCTTGTTGGCCGTAAGCTAACCTGTCCAAAGTATCGATTACTTGAGCTAATAAGATGGTATTAGGTTATCCGAATTCTCCTCTCAGATTCTCAATCCCTCGATGACAATAACATACTCGGAGCACTAATGGTCGTTGTCTATTCCACTGGTTTCAGCATTGGTCCTTCCGTTGGTGGTGCCATTCTCAAGATATCGTGGAGATGGGTATTTGGTATCAAGTAGGTTGACTCGGTTTAACACTCTACAAACTTATACTCATTCTCTCCTGTCAGCCTCCCAGTATGCGCAGTATCCGTAGTCATCTTCTTCCTTTTTTTACGCAAGACGTCTAAGGGACAGCAGCCACCTCAGCACTTGAATCGTTTGAACATACCCGAATCTACAAGGGTCCAATTCCTATCCAAATATCCCCCCGGCCTGAAGACATCAATCAAACGCATCGATACTGTGGGGGCACTTATTTTCATCGTCCTGGGTATTGCTATCCTGTTAGGCTTGAATTGGGGCAGCACCGACTCCGGAGGATGGAACCAACCGAAAGTCATCGTTTCCTTGGTCATTGGCATCATTCTCATCCCCGTTTTTGTATTATGGGAATATATTGTCGACCATTCGACGGACTATCTTGTTAATTCGGAATCGCAAGGAGACATCGAGTCGACGGTCGCTCTGAATCTGCAGCTCGGCAAAGGGCCCAAGTCGAACGAAATGGGTTTCCGTGCTCGTCTGACACGGCTCGCTCCTTCTTTCGTCGAGATTACGGATCCAATGCTTCCAATGAATATGTTCCGGTCGATCGATGTTATTGCCTGCAACTTTGCTACACTGACAAGTGGAATGGTCATGCTTGGCATCTTTTACTTTGTATCAATATTCTTCATTATCGTCGGTGGAAAAGATGCCACTAAGGCTGGTGTTCAATGTTTATATTTCGCTCCAGGAATCGTAAGTCCATATTTCTGATCCCCCATCATGCGGTGTTCTTTTTTCGTCCATTTTTACCCATCCAATTAACCAATCTTCTATAGGGAATCGGGGCGGTCATTTCTATTGTTATGATCAAGGCCCTTCGTCAACCCAAACCGACGGTTCTTTTGGGCTGCGTGATCACACCTCTTGCCGTCGGTTTATTGGGTCAAGCAATGTATGAAAACAATCAAAAACATATTATGGGTTTCATGATCATGAGCGGTGCTGGTATTGGCATTGCTTTTGGACCTTTGAGTAAGTGACTTGCCTTTTTCGTTGCAACGTCTCTACCCTCAGTAGTACCATATTGCTTACAACCTTTCTTGTAGCTTATCAAATCCGCTTCACTCAGCCAGAAGACAGGGTCGCCATCGTAGTCGCTAGTAATCTATTCTTCCGAACAGCTGGTGGGGTGATTGGATTGGCCCAGCTCTCAGCTGTCATGTTCTCTCAAGTACGGTCTTATATCAAGAAACAAGTCATATCTGGTCGCATCACCCTATCCGACGCTGGCCGCATCTCTGCCTCCCTCGCTTCTGTGGGTACGGTTCACGGCGGTGGTACATCTTCAGCCGGCTCAGGTGGAATATTCGGATTACCGGATAACCTACGAACTGTTACGACTGAGGCCTTCAAGGATGGAATACGATGGGCTTTCCTGTCCCTTGTTCCCTGGCTGGGCATCTCTTTGCTGCTGTGCCTCTTTTTGACTCGTGTAGATCCCGAACGACTCAACGTAAAGTCGGGTCAAGTCGACATTCCAGAAGTTAATCGGGAGAAGAGACAGAGGCGAGGTGACATTGAGGTAGCACCGGTTCAATAAATGAGGGTTGACCTATTTATATTTGGTTACTCTATATACACGTGATACTTATATGTACGCAATATTGCTCCTATATATGCCCTTTTTGAAAAAGAAAAATCATATCACGGCTCCTTTAATATGGCCTTTAGCCATGCCCAGAGCCGAATTCTGTTATTTACCAAGGAAAAGACACGCCACGCTATCGGTGGACAATATGTACTTGGGCAACAAGGATGGCACTCGAGACTGCCATCGCGACCGCCACTGGAATAAAGTTGAATTTCGCAAACTGCAGTATGGTTACCTTGATGTTCTTCTGAAGGAGTAGGCGGCGCCACAAGAGCCCTGCGAGAGAGGCAGGGAAAGAGAATGT